CTGGCCACCTCTAAATACCATAGTTTTCTGAGCCTCAAATTTAGGCAATTGAATTCTATGTTGTTTCTGGATGTGCAAGGCATTCAGAAGAGATGGAAAATCTGAACTTTCCCCAAGTGCTGGCGCCTCCGTCCCCACTGCAATATCATTACAGAAACAAGACACACGCTCCCCTGAGCATGTGCGGTGTGATCCGTGCCTCCCGCTGCCCACATGCTTTACAATCATTTAAAAGAGATGTGTGAAAAGTTCCTAAGTTGAGCTGTTTTTAAAAAAAGACAAGTGTATTGCTAGTCTTGTCTGAGGGCAAGAGAGAGAACAGCCAAGTGGTCAGATGACAAGGCTGATGTGAGCTTCGACATGGCCACCGAGCCAGGCCGGGCCTCTGGCTCCCCACGCCCATGACAGACTATGGCTTGGACGGGTCCTGGGGGCCGAACTCCTCATATTAGGTAACCCTGCCAGACCATGGGCGCTGGAATCTGCTGCTGTAGCGGGCCCTGCAAAGAACTTGCCCCCAAAGCAGAGCGGGGCAGCCCTGGACTTGTCTTACCAGGCTGACAAAGGCTCCCTGGCGCTCCAGGATGGGGATTGGAGCTACAGTGTGGGGGACCTCAACACTCACCCCAAACAACACGCTAATTTGCCAGATGAGGCAATGCAGATCCATATCACCACATGGAAACAAATCCCCTTCCTGGAGGCTTCCCACTCCGAGATGGCTTGTAGTTCAAAGACTTGCCCAACAAACCCAAACCAGTTGGCTGGGCTGTCTTTATTTTAGCTTTACTAAAGTGCATAACAAGATCAAAACCCTGCTTCTAAGGCCATCAGCAGAGGCTGCCGGGGGGGGGGGGGGGGGGGGGGCTCTAGGACCAGCTCTCCTGCTGCTACCAACTTGGAAGGTATCTCTGCTGCGCCCCCCACCCCCCTTTCCGGGAGTGCACCTCACTCGGCCAGGGCACCGGAGGCCCATAATGGCCAGTGAAGAGATGTGGAGCCAGGCCCAGGCAGCATGTCTCTCAAAGTGCTTTCATTGTTCAATGCACAGTCTGCTCTACTTCCTGGGTGAGCCTACCCCTAGCGCCCACCCCGGTCTGTTGAGCTGAGGCATTACTGTGTGGGCTGCCCACACACTCCCTTCGATCACCCTGGGCCTCAGACTGCCCTGGACCCATCTGTGTGTGTGCAAATGGCCCAGGACCTTGGGAAGCAGTTCCAACCTACTGCACTTCAGTACCGGTCAGTCCCCCTGCCCAGGTTTGATGGGGCGGGGTGAGAGACCCAGAAAATAATTAAAAACTCGTTGCTCTTGAGTTGACCCCGAATCATGGAAACCCCATGTGTGCCAAGAGTCACATCGAACTCCGTACAGGGTTTTCTGGCGGCCTGAGTTTTGGAAGTAGATCACCAGGCCTATCTTCCACATTGCCTCTGGTGAACTTGAACCTCCAACCTTGATTTAGCTGCTGAGTGCACTAACCCTTGGGCTGACTTTATCTGCTACTGCACATCGGTCCGGTTCCCATCTTTGGTCACCTGTGATGCTGGGCTACGGGCTTCCCCCAGAGAGAAGGCAGCTGCGAGATCCCGGACGCGAAGAAAAAGACGATGGCAACGCTGACACGTCAGTGGATCAGAACCACAGACCTCTAGGGTGGATTCTGCTTCACAGTTGACATGGCCCCCCCTCTCAGGCTGCCGGCTCAGCTAGGAAGGACTGCCGCTGAGCCCCGGGCCTGGGCTGGACCACGGAGCGAGCGGCTGAGGCTCTTCTCGGCCCCTTCCGCCCACACCTGCACCTTTCTCTCTACACGCCCAGGAGACGCCATTCTCAAAATCAAAAGCACAAGCTCTAGGCAAGGCAAGACTCCTGCTGTCAGGGCTCGTCCAGTCTGCAGCTCAGAGCATCCCACCCCAGGGCCCTGCTGTCTCCTGAGCTCCCTGGCAGGCAATGCTGGGGGTTCAAGGAGATTCAGACTTGCTGGCAGCAGGGCGAGGGTGATGGGTAAGGGAAAGGGGGGCCTTAGCGACACTCCATGCACTCCAATTCTTTACCTCTTTGATGCATTTTCCTTCGGTCACCAGAGCCCCCAAGAATCAGCTTTCTGATTCAGCCTCGTAGTGACTGAGGAAGGAGATGGAGGAATTCCACTTGGTGGTTGGACTAGACATGGTTGGGAAAACACCAGCACGGCACAGGGACAAAAAGTATGACCCACCCGACATGGGGGGCTATGGACACGGTCTACAGGAAGCGTGTGTGGCAATCACATGTAAACATCACTGAGAGCAAATACTAGGACAGAGCTACAATGAGAGGGCTGCCAACAGCAGCTGCTCCCTCTGGGGTGCCCCTCTTCATTTGGGGGGAAGGAGACCAAGGTGGACCGGTTGTTCTGGGGAGACCTTGCAGGGACCTCCCTGCCGAGTCGTTCACAGCACCGAATGCGTCTGCGGGTTGGTCAGGTGGGTGGCCTTTTCTGTGTGGGATGGAGAACAGAAACCGTGGGATCCCCTGGGAGGCATCTTGTCCCTTTAGTGGACCCAGCCCTGACCTCAGATACATCACGTCTCAATTCCAGACTCAGCTTGTCTGCTCTGCCCCAGGGCCAGCGCCTCCCTAACTCCCAGTGCTAACCTGGTGCTAGAGGGAGGCAGCAGCTGACCCAGTAGGGGAAGGAGACTTGGCTTTGACCTAAGATGTACATTTCTTGGCCTGGTGCAGTCATGGAAGGAGCAAGTAGGAGGAGCTTCATGGTCACCTAGTCCAAAGTCTTGCAGCACCTTGAGGCTCGTGAGAGGGGAAGGGGTGTTTCAAAGACTACAGAGTGAATGGTGGAGTCTGGACTCTTCCCAGCCCTCTAGACTTTGAATCCAGGGCCTGTTCCTACTGCCTTCCACATCAGGACCCAGAGGAGGCAAGACTTGAATTCTCACCCATTCTATAAACGTGCACTGTGTGCCTGTCTCGTGCTAGGCCACGAAGTCCCCAAACATGCCCATGTCCTGTGGCTTCTCTCTTCCCTCGGCCCCCTCCCCAGCACGGAGATGTGTGACAGTGGTATCAGGAGCCCTGTGCAAAGAATGGCCTAGGGAGAACGTCTCTTATAGATCAGGACATGGCAGACAGGAAAACCCAGCCACCGGAATACTGTTCTGCGTGATGGAAACCTTTCAAAGATTAGACCAAGGTGTTAGATGGGTTAGCCCCAACGAATGAGTAATGTCTGTGCATTCTAACACCTTCAGACTCAAAGAACACGAGAGCTGTGATTTTTGAGTTATGTCTGCCATTGGCCCGTCTGTGGAAATAGTGGCACCCGTGCCACGCGTCTGCCATCTTGGACTCAGCACCACCACAGCAGAAAAAAATAAGATTTAATTGCTGACAGGCAGGGGAAATCTACCTGCCTAATTTCCCCCGCTCAATCCATTTCTCAGAAAATGGACAGTCAAAATTCAGTCCCGGCTCCCACTAAAGAGCCCTCTGTGGGTTTGGGGTATGTCCACCTTCCCGAAGAAGAACACCAGCCTAGCTCACTCACTGAGGTATTTAATAAATCTTAAAACAAAACAAAAGACAACAATAATTCCCAAAGGACTGGGCCTGGCACTCACAGCAGATTAAATTAGCTTGTTCGGTTGAATGAGTGACTCTCAAGCTTTTCCCAAGTAGCAGGGCCCCCCTATCTTCCTCCCTTTTTCTTTTTAATACAAAACATCCACAAACCCTCAGGCACGAGAGGTGGCGAGAGGTGGAGGAGGGGCCACTCTGCCAGCAGCAGTAGCAGCAGCAGCAGCAGCGGCTCATTGGACCCTGCCGGCCAGGCTTCTCCACCCCAGCCCCGAAGGCACCGGCCGAACCTCCCACCCGTTTCACACTCACTAACACAAGGCTGGAAGTAGGCCGACTAGAAAGCTTTCTAAGCTGGAGGGGAACCTGGACAGTATCTTCCCACCCCCAACCTGTACCCCCTGCCTTCCCCAACCAGTTTTAGAGAGGAGGAGCCGTAAAGATGGCAGAGGTTGGTCGGCTGACCAAAGGACGGCTACTCCCTGACTGCCCGGCAGCTAGCATGCCACTGGTGTTCCACGGAGCGTCCATGGGTGCAGGCAAAACACGGGACCCCTCAGGGTCAAAGCTAAGTCCGGGGCACCCACCGGAATTAGAACTTTCCTGAAGCTGGGGGGCGAGCTGTTGACCTAAACCCCCCCAAAGGGGCCCTCAGCCTTCTAAATTGATTGCCCACGCTAGCTGAACTTGCCTCGCCTAGCCCCGAGAACGTCTCACCTTACCGCAGCCCTGCGCACACGGCACCAGAATGAGGAGGCGGCCTATGGGACCGTGGGCCAGTCACTTGCCCTCACCCGGGCTCTGTGGTAGCCCAGCTGCTCACCCGCCTTCCTTTCGAGGTGCGTGAGGGTCTGCCGCGCTCACAGACGAGAACACACGGTGAGCCAGGCACAGGACGGCAGCCACCGTTCGTCCCTGGACCTGAACTTGCTCGGTAAGATCAGGGCAGGGCTTGGCATGGGGTGAGTGGGCACGGCCTACTGTTGCTCTGTGTGGCCAGGCCGCCTTTGCCCGGGGACCAGCCTCCGCCTCTAAGGGAGCAGGGGAGCTCAGTGGCAAACACCTCACGACAGTGTGCATAGTTCAGAACCCAAGGGAGCAATACGATAACCCCAGGCACAGGCAGCTGAGCCATAAATACATTATTTTAAGGATATACTTTTTTTCTTCAATTAAAAATGAGTTTATAATCCTGATTCTATTCACAAGTAACAATTTCATCATCACACACTACGGACAAGAAATGGTATGGTGCACACAGCTGCGCGTCTACAAGGGCGGTTGGGAAGGAAGGAAGGGGTGGGGGTTGGGAGCAGGTGATGACCCAGCACGTAGAGGGAGTCCCAGGACAACCCACCGGAAGCGAGGACACTAATGTGGCAGTGGAACGTCAACACCATGGAAACTCACAGACAGAAGCAGCTCTGTTCAATGTAAACATTGATTCTTTTTTAAAGGGACAGCAGTTTCAAGTCTCTCACGTGTGTTCTTGCACGCGCACACGCGTGCTCGTCTCTCCTTCTCATAGACTGAATCTCTTTGAAAACGTAAACATATTGGAAGGGCCTTGTCTGAGGTATTGAGGTATTCCTCGAAGGTTAAGGCTATGATCAACGCAGGCTCTGCTGGGCCTCCTCCAGTAAGCTGTCAAAATCCATGGCTTCGTACTTGTTTTTCACTGACGGAGGGAGGGGCTCTTCCGAAGTGGAATCTGGGGAGGGGGCGGAGGAGTCAGAGAGAGGGGCCCTCACGGAGCCGGGCCCTCCGATGGCCTGAGTGAGCGCGCGTGCCGGGCCAGGCTGCTCAGGGCTCCTTGCCAGCGCCAACACCTGTGGCCCCCCTTCCCCCGGCTCCTCCCGAGCCCCTCTGTCCTCACACTCAGTGTGGGCCCAACAAAACCAGACCGCCCCGTTCTTTACAGAGGGAACGCTGGGTGGTCGGAAGACCAAAGGATGATTCTCAGCTTGTCCCCAGCTGCAAAACCACGTGACCCAGCATGGTGTCCATATGGTCCAGTCATGGTCAAGGCTGCCCCCATGGGGGGGGGGGCACTGTAAGATGCCCTCTCAAGGAGGCAGGGTGGTGGCTGGTTTTGTCAAAGATACAGCAGCAGCCACTGTTTTGTCCACTGGTGGGGGACACAAGACTGGACCTTCCAAGAAGGTCGGAGAGCCCATCCCTCCCCCTGGTCCCAAGTCCTGCTGCCAAGACAAGGACTAGAAGAGGAACAAGTTGGTGCCCTCTTGGCACAGTGGCTGCAAAGCCACACCAGTCAGCCCTTGGCACCCAGCCTGGGCTCCACTGGCAGAGGCTACCAACCCTTATGGTTTGGGTGCTGCTGGGCCGTGGGGAGGCCACGGGTGCTTACCGTAGTCAGTGTATCTGGGCCAGCAGAAGTGCCGGAGCTCTCCGGAGCTCAGCTGGAAGGAGGGCTCATGGCGCCTCCTCAGGGCAGCGCCATTCCTCAGAGAGAGGGCCGCATGCTCGGAACGCCGGTAGGTGATGAAGCCGTACTTCTCACCTCTAGGGGGAGAGGACAGGAGAGCAGGTCACTGGTCAGCTTGGTGGTCTCTGCAGCACCACCCACTGCTAGATGAGGTGCGAAAGCCAGGGTGATAGGGTAGGGTAGAGGCGGTGCCCACCACGACATCATCCTCCCCCCAGAAAGAGAAGAGCTCCTTATCTAATCAGTGTGCCAGGCATCAGCCAGCACACACAGACCCTGTGTGCTCCCCTCACCGACGGCAAGCGGTGGTGCAGGGATTAAACCAAGGCTCCCTGGTGTGAGTGAAGCCGGTGTTCTGAACATCTCCCTTCAGTTCCCTCTCGATTCCGGCTTTCTTGAGTTTTCCACACCTACACGTCCAGCTTGCAATCCTGTGCAGCCATCAAAGCTAGCCTCAGACACCACCTTCTTGACTCCTAATGCGGTTCGCACCTTGTCTGATGCCACTGATCTTTCCAAGCCAGCTCCAGGTGCCAATGAAGTCATGGGATCAGGAGGCTCTTGGGCCACGGTGATTTGTTGGAACGAACCTCCCACCCAAGCTGAACCCAAGAGTCCGCTCAGAGGCTTCATCGGGACTGGGAGGCGACCCCTGTCTCCCTGGAGGTCTCTAAGCTGGTAGGAGGTAGGCACAGCGAGAGGCAGCCACTTGGCAGCCAGGAAGGAAGCGGTTTTGAGTATGATCCCAAGGCAGCAGGAGTGGTGGTGGACGCAGGAGCTTGGTCAGCTCTATCAACCCTCAGAGCATGGCTCCTGCCTGGCAGGCACTCACTCCTGCCGGCTCCCTGTGAGTTCCTCCAGGGGAGGGACACTCCGGGCGGCTCGAAGGGCAGTGTCCATGGGCCACAGAATCGGTGCCCGTGAACCAGACCATCCTGGGGTCCTCTTGCCTCCTCCCCATCTAAAACAGGCAGTGTGGCCCAGCACTGTTCTTTGTAAGACCGGGTACACGCTCCCCCATTCTCACCCGTGGAGCCCTCTCTTTCAGAGACCAGTGTGCCCCCTTCGTGGCTGCTTATGACTGATGGATGTTCGCCGTTACTGTTGGGGAGAGACCGAGCAGAGAACACACACCGACAGACCCACGGGTTTCTACCGCACACCCTGCTGTCGTTGGCGGCACCTTGTCTGGGTGGTTGGTTTCCACGAACAGACTGGCTGCCCCGAGGACCCAATCTAACCACTGAAGCTGTTGCTGCAAATCTCCTCCCGAGAGAGAGATCTTAAAGGAGCGTCGCCCGGCAATCCAAATTCATGCTTGGTTTTAAGAAGACTTCACATGGCATCCCCAAGGGGCATGAACAATAGAAACATGGGCGAAGGCAGACAGCGGACGGTGTAAGATATGAAAATAACACTAATTTATAATTTATTGAGGGGTCACCAGGGTGGGGGAGGGAAAATGAGGAACTGATACTAAGGGCTCAAATAGAGAGATAATGTTTTTAAAAGGATGATGGCAGCTTATGTACAAATGTGCTTGATACGATGGTTGTGATGAGGGCTGTAAGGACCCCCAATAAGATGATTTACAAAGAGAAGACTCCAAAAGGTAGTGTCCAAAGTGAAGCATTTAAGAGATAATTTCATGGGGATAATTTCAAGGGTTCATTCAGTCTTCATGGCCCCCAAACATCTGGATTCCACGAAAATGTGAAATTCCATGCGGTATCAACTCCCTCCTCCTGACCAGGATTCTTCTATAGTCTTTGGTCCAGAGGCTCAGTAAAGGTAGGCGGGCACCACAGCGCCCTCTGATCTCAGGACAGGGGAGATGTCTGTTCTCGGCCTCCTATTCCCCTGATGTCCCTTCTTCCTCTGTTGCACCAAGAAGCAGAGACCAATGATGGCGCCGTGGATGGCTGCTTGTCAGCTTTGAAGAGCTGGAGCACCGCGCAACCCCGCAGAAGATGGAACAGATGCACCCAGCATGCTGTCAGGCCAGGTACCTGGGATGGCCCATGAAGCTGTGAGCCTAACCCTCTAAGCCAGCTGTTCTTAACCTGTGGGTCGCAACCCCCTTTGGGGGGGTGGGGGGGTGTATCAACAACCCTTTCACAGGGGTTGCCCAATTCATCACAGTAGCAAAATGACAGTGATGAAGAAGCAATGAAAATAATTTTATGGTGGGGGGGGGTTCTTCACGAGGAACTGTGTCAAAGGGTCATGGCATTAGGAAGGTTAAGAACCACTGCGTGTAAACCAAGAAACCAAAGACCACGGTTGCCGGTTGTACAGAGCAGCCTCGGCAGTGGCTCTCCTCCTCCTTCCTCTGGTGATGGTAGTTATCGACACATTGATCACCCCATTTCTACCAATTCCACGGTCATCAGAGGTGCAGGCCCCCTGACCCTCCCCAGCACCACACGAGGCTCCATGCCCGCCCAGGGGCCTTTGCTGAGACAGGTGGAGGCCCCCGATCCTGACGACAGCACCCCAGAACAGGCCCGGCCTGCACGCTGGCTCCGACCCACGACGTGGTTTTCTCTGATGCTTTTACACGATAGTCGGGTCTGTGGGAGACGATTCGGAGATATTTCTAAACTAACCACGTTTGGACACTGCAGTGCGCTCAGTTCTCTTTCCGGATGAAGCCTGGCAGCCCCGGCCAGGAGGGAAAAACAGGGCTGCTTATAAAACGGGAACCCGGGACGGGTGCCACGGAGGGTCGTAGACAGAGGGAGCGTGAGGCGTAGTGACCGCCCAGTGCAAGGTGGGCGTTCAAGCTGGCCACGGATGTGCGTGCCTTCCCTACTCACCACCGCACCCCTCTGCTACCTTCAGCATGGACAGCAGACACATGGCCCTGGCTCTGCCACTAACTAGCTGCTCACGAAAGTTTCTGAGTTCCCCAGAAGGGAGGGCCACAGAAAGCATGCGGCTAAAATCCAGCAGCTTATCGTTTGATCTCCCTTTGATCCATTTTAAATTTGTTCTAATTTTCAAATATTTTATGCTTTCTTTTCTGATGAGGTTTCTAATTTGCTTGTTGTTTTTAATATTTTTCTGTGTATGAAATTCAGGACGGGCGACTCTACAGACAGGAATGGATTAATGGTTCCTTTGGGTGTGGCAGGGGAGGTGGGGGGATGGAGAGGTAGCATCGATGAGTACAAGAATGGAGAAAATGTTCTTCTAACACTGGTTGTGCTGGTGATTGTACAATTCTTCTTAATGTGATTGACCTACTGAATTGCGTGATGTGTGGATTATATGCCACTAAAACGGTTCAGAAATTAAGGAAGACAGACCGGTAGAAAGACTGAGTATCCACATTAAGTAAGAGAACTCACGGGCGCTGCCTGCCCCTCTCATGGACCACAGTGTGCCCCTTCCCGAGGCCGCTCCAGGGTGGTTGAAGCCACAGTGTGGACACTGAGAGACAAGCAGTCATCCCTCGGTGACCCTGGCGCTGGGCCCCCAGAACCGCTTGGCAGCCAGAGAGGAGCGGGCAGCCCAAGTGGAAACCACCCCTTCTTGACGTGGTCCGGATAGCGTGTGTCGGAATGTAACGCGTAGCGCTGTGGCGTCGTCTCATCTGGGAAGAGGGTTTTCTTTGCTCGGTTACTGAGGGCCTATCTAGTGTAAGGTGGGTCCTAAACCTCATCGCCTCCAGGCTGCTCGGAGCAGCACGGACACAGAGACAAGCACCGATGGGGGGCGGCAAGCGGCAGGGGAAGATGGTGGAGAAACTGGAAAGAGTGCTGCCAGGGAAGGCCGGCAGGCTCGTCCTGCACGGCTGGGCCCTGAACTCAGCCAGGGAGGCTCCCAGACCTCGCTCTCTAAGGCAGTGCTGCCACGCAGCTCTAGGGAGTGAGCACATTGCCACACAGTCAGAACGCGCTGCTGCTGCTGCTGCTCGGCGGTGCTGTCATCATGACAGGTCCCCCCACGCCAGCCTGGAGATGTAGTCAAATCTACCCACCGCCCCCACCCCCAGCCCCCCCAGAGGACGTAACCGGACTCACCGCTGGCTTCTCGTCAGCACCTGGCACTCCACAATCTCCCCAAACACCTCGAAGCGCCGCCTTAGCTCACGGGAGCTCATGTCGCTGGAGAGATTTCGAACATACACCACCCGGCCTTCGCCCTGCTCGGGGAAGGGCGACACAGAGGGGCCCAGTCATTGCCAGGAGTCCTGGGGTCCCCCTTGGTGGTGTGTGCCCGTGGTGGCCTCATCCCCAGCCACGCCATTGGGCTGAGCAAGTGACCCCAGGTAGGGCTGGAGCCAGAGAAGGGATGATGGCCTTAGTAGAAGCCCTGCCCTGCTGGAGGAGGGGGCCTGTAGAGAGGTCCCAAAGGAAGGCAAGCGCTTATTTGTGGGACTTGGCAGGTGACCGGCAGACAGTGGGCTGAGGAAGGAGAGGACTTATGTCCACCAATGTGATCGACGCTGACCCTGAGTGGGACACGAAGTGGGAGCGGTTGTTTGCAGCAGCCAGGTTACTGGAAGAAAAGGCCGCGGCCTGTGGAGGTGCCCAGGCTCCCACCATGTCTGGCTTTGCCAGGGCCACAGGGTAGACACCGAGAAACCAGAGGACCACCTCCAGTGGGCTTGGCGCTGTGCCCCGGATCCTAGAGCAGCCTGGCTGAGGGCCAGGAGCCCCAGCTGAGAACGCCCCTCCTTGCCTGGAAGAGCTGCCCCTGCCCGTCAGAGAACCTCCAGCTCTCCTCCTCGACGCCATGCTCCCATGCCACAGTCGGCAGTTGAGTGGACAGGGCTTTGGGGGGACCAGGTCGCATCCACTGACTGTCCAGCCATTCCACCAGCCGGGATCCCCAAGCACGGTTCTCCTGTCCACAGCAGCCTGCGCCGTGCCGCCCACCCCACAGGATGCCTAGGTTCGGCCCAGCACGGGATGCCACTCCACCGAGCTGCCCACCTTGCAGAGCTCCTTGAGTTCACGAAGCTCCCTCCTGCCTCTGCCCCAAACACTCTGAACTCGAAGGCGCGGCACCTTGCCTGAGCCCTGCACACGCCCTCCTCGGCCACTCAAGTAGCATGTCCTCCCCACCAGCCCAAACACCCAGTCTAAACAGGACTACGCCCTCAACGCTGGCACCAACTTCAGAGCACGTATCCCATCTGGGAGTCACGGTTTTCTCCCTCCCCGTCTAGTGTCTTTCTCTCTCTTCTGCCCCAACCATGGGCGTGGAGACCAGATGGTCAGCCAGGCCTCGACCAGCAGCAGACACATGGTAGCAACTGCTGATGACTCAACTCGGCCCCCGAGAAGCGGCTCTCAGCACAGACTGGGGTTCCGAGTGTCACCTGCCTGCACAGATAGGTGTGGCTCTGGGGTGGCACACCTCCTGCAGATCCCAAGAAGCCCCACCCTCAGTGTTAGGTGGGAGCTTGTCTCTTTGGGTTTCCCGCCCACCCACTCCCAGGGCCTCGGAAGGGCTGCAGCAGCTCCTTGGTGCAGGACCAGCCATTGTGCCCCAGAGGCTCGGCAGGCAAGCCCTCAAGGCCAGGGCCTGGGGACTGTGCTGGCCAAGTGGGAGGGAAAGGGCAGGGGACCCCCTAGGGAGTCAAAGGCCCACTCCCTTGAGTACAGATGAGTAAACCGAGGCTCAGGAAGGCGGTAGCTGGTTGTAGCTGGCAGGCCCAGCGTTGCTCCCCTGTACCGCGTGGCCTGCACCTCTGCCCTAGGAAGGACCCTGTTTGGGTCCAGGCTGCACTCCCTCCCATGTCACCTTTGTTGTCGCCTCCTGGTGATGATTTCCAAAGGAGAGAGCCCGCTGCGGCGCCCACCAGCTGGCCTCCAAACGGCTTCAGACCCTAGAGGACCCCGCACCTTCTGGCTCCCTGCTTGCCCGAGTCTGTCTGGCTCCAGGGCCCCAGGTCACTTACAATGGCCTTTTCCCGCCGCTTCCTGGCCTGCCGGACGCCTGGCGTTCTGTCTGCACACGGCCCTCTGCTCTCCCGTCTGTCAGTGAACAAGCAAAGCAGAAGCACTCACTCAAAGCAGCGGGGGACACGACACTGCTGCTGTGTCAGGTCAGGGCTTGCTCGCTCGCTCAGGAGCAATGTTCCCTCCTGCCATGCCCAGCTCCCCCACCATGGGTAATGACAAGCAGGGCCAGGGGACCCACACTCCCTGCACTGTCTCTCTGTCCCACCCCCAGCCAGCTTCCCGCTGCACCCCCACGCCTATGCTGCTAATTACTATGCTCTATGCCAGGATCTGGTGGGGCGCGGGTGTCCTGTGGGCTGGCTACCTGTTGACCTGTTCATCAGAAGGCCACTGGTTCGAACCCACCAGCTGCTCTCTGCAGAAGAAAGATGAGGCCTCTGCTCCTCTAATGGTGCATAGCTTTGGGGGCAGCCGTCTGGCTGGGTCCTAGACTTGGAATGGGCTCATGGCATGGGCTTGGTTTTAAGTCCGGAGAGGTAGAAAGAGCCCCATCACCTCCATCACCTCGGGGTCTTTCTGTTGCCCCCGCTTTCCTAGACGAGGAACCCAGGGTTCGGCTTCGATAGAGGATTTGCTAGACATCAGGGAAGCCAAGGATGGAAGCAAGTCTCCTCATTCTAGGCTCACTCCCTCTGCTGGTTGGCCCTGGCTAAAGACAGCCCTCTGCCTGCCCATCACAGCTCTTGGACTCAGCTGAGTGGCCGGGCTGACCGACCCTGGAGCTGGAGGGGCCCCTGGTTCACCTGCTTGGGCTGGAAGGTATGAGGGGGGTGGGGTGGGGTGGGGGCAGCCCTGCTCGCAGCTCTGCCAGCTTCTGTCTGGGTCCTCGAGATGCCTGGCCCAGGACAGGCAGGGGCGTGCTAGCCACATAATCTTGTGTCACCTTGAGGGCATTGTGAGTGAAGGGGCGGAGTCCAGCCTGCCAATCAGATCACAGCCAATGATGCCTGTGGGCATGGTCTTCTCATGAGGATTCTGGGAACTTCCTGCCTCTTGATTCGGACATCAGAAGGGGCAGGCCACTCTCTCTGCTAAACATTCCTGTTCACAAGCCACATGGCAGCCCGAGCCCTGGAGATGGGTCCTCTGCCATTGGACCCTCAGGGTTTTCCACTCCCTGGCCTGTGATCTTCCTGCACTTGACATCATGCACATGGTGCATGGGCTACTATTGGAGTGACAGCTAATATCAAACTGATGGACTTGATCTGGACTGGGCTGGGATGTTTTATTGATGCATAATTACTTCTTGATATAAATTTCTCTCTCACATATGAGAGTCTCTGGATTTATTTCTCTGGTCAACCCAGACTAACACAAGGGGCTCTGAGCCAGCAGCCTGGGTTTGAGTGCTGGCTCTCCCACTTCCCGCTGGTAACCTGGGCCCTGTGACTTAAACTCTTTCGGCTTCGGTTTTTCTAAAACAAAATAAAGGGTGAGGATTCAGTCAGAAAGCGCACGTCTGTGCTTGGCATGGGCACGGCTCTTACATGTTTGCGTTATCTTTTTACTTGACTGCTCTGAGCCTCGGCTTCCTTGTGGATGAAGCAGGGGACTCGAAGCAGGTGTGCCCCCAGGTGCATCCATGCCGCTCAGGCAGGGTCACCTTGCAATCACATCCTCCCCATGTGTCCTATGACCCGCAGAGCTTACAGCCAATAGAAGGCGTCATGAGCGTGTGTTCTTAAACTAGCTCAAGCACTTCCTGTTGCTCTGTACTTGGTGCACATGGGAGTGGAGAAAGCTGGGGACTAGGATGACCAGGTACCAAGCTCTGCTGGACGTCTGAGCAGGAAACAAGCGGACCAACCAACTTCCTCAGTGGGCAGAAACAACTTGCCCCAAGCCTGCCCCAAACTCGCGCACACGAGAAAAGGGAGAAACGAGTGGGCTGCGAGGAAACTCTCACTTTGGGTAGCAGTCAGCTCAGAGCTTCTGAACCTGGGTTTTTAGAGCCTCTCCCACCTCCTGGAATCACTCCCCAGGAAGATACACACACTTCAATGGTTTTGATGGGAGAGGGTTTTTTGCTTCAGTTAAATGGTTGAAACTGTTAGGAGCTGCAGGTATAGCTATAAAAATACAATGCCACCTTTGTCTAGGAAAGGATATCTTTATGTGCCCTGAATTCTGATCTCAAAATATGGTACTCTGGGGGACATCATCATTTGGGAACTTGTTAGGGATGCAAATTCTGGGGCCCACCTGAGAAGTATTAGTCATCCCAACGGTGGAAGTCCAAACAGGGGCTTCAACTGCACTGCTCTTGACCCAAGATCACCATCTAGTGGCCATTCAGGAGAACCTCCCCTAGGCTCCCCTGGAGAGAGTCAGTCCCAGCCACGTGCCCTGCCCCCCTGCAGCTCCCTCTCCAGTCTTGTTCATGGCCTAAGGATGGGACAAGAATCCTTCTCCGCCGAGGCTGAGCTTGGGTGTGGAACATGGCTGCACTGAGCAATGTTTTAAATCCAGGCACCCCAAGACCCCCAACCTAGATTAGAGCCCCGCCAACCCTCCTTTCCCTTATAAATGTCGGGAGGGTGTTTCAACTGCTTGGGGATGAGTGCTGACATACACCCCAGCGGCTGTGTATACTCGGGGCACACACACACAAGCAGAGAAGAGGGGACTGGTGGGGGAGCTCATTCAGACCAAGGCCTAAATGTCTGTAGTCGGCTAAGCTCTCTGGGAGGCCTGGGGACCACCAGCCACACCGGGCATGGCTGGCCTCCACGACTTGCCTACTGCACCCTCAGGAGACCGCGCTCTCCCCTCCCCGGGCATCAGGGCACCAGAGCCCCCAGGGGCACCCCCGCCCCCGTACCTGAAGTTCCTCCGGGTGGCTGGTGAGCGGGATCGGCAGGAGGATGAGCCGGAGCTGGAGCGGCTGCGGGAACAGAGCTGCCGACTGGCCTTGCTGGGTGGGCTCTGGTAGGGGCAGTGGTCAGAGCGAGGGGGGCTGGCCCCTGAGTCCTCGTCGTCCTCATCGTCCTCCTCCTCCTCTTCGTCCTCCGGGAGC